AAAAAAAAAAAAAAAAAAAAAAAAAAGGAAAAAAAACCCTTGGTAGAACTTTGCAGCTAAGCATACACAAAGTGTTGTTTTCAAAGTCAGTGACTTGATCACACAGATGTGGAAGTTTGTACATACTGTGAGACACCTTCCTGACCCAGCCCTCCTCCCCTTCTCCCTCCAAACTGTTACTTTGAATACAGGTATGCACCAAATATACAAACAGGTGGGAGACACAGCTGGCAAAACCCACATATAATCCCAAATGGATACTACTTTACCAGACTGAATGCAATTATTGTAATAGAAACCACTGGAAAATTTAAAAAGAGGCATCGTTATCTCTCCCCACATATGAGATGTAAACCCAATGAATATAAAATGTCAAGATTATACTGCTAGTGATGTGCAAGGTCTGGTTACTTATGAGTTCTTTACGCAAATACACTCAGAACACAATTAAGTAATAACAAAAAATACATAACTGTAAACAGATCAAGACCCCAAATATCCAGTGTTTAAACACTCCTTTTAACACAAAAGTTAACGTATGGAAAACTAAGCCAAAATAAATGCCTCCAAAAAATGCACCTGTTTTAACAACAGAGCCTGAAGCTGACCATTTCAAACATTCTCTTGAAAAAAACAATTATACTTGAGTAACTAATGTGTTTCCTGGAGTTAATTTGCAAGTGCATGTGTCTGTTCTTCAGTCTTCACATTAATCATCTGCTATTTAAACTCCAGGGAACACGACCAATAACTTATGTAGCCAAAGTCTTTTCACCGCAGCTCTATGCAAAGATCAACTTATATATTAATTAAATATAAATTATGCAACTTACCATAACCCACTATCCATTTCATAGATCCAGAGCTCATCATTAGGCAGATAAACTTCATTTTCTTCAATTGACTAAAACCGAAAAAAAAATAATTTGCAAATGTTAAATCAATTATGCATTATACACCATACGTTTTAAAATGAAATACCAAATCGTGTTACTTAGCAACGTGGAATAATCTTAAGGAGATAATCTGCCAGAGCATAAGTCATTCCCCATCATTATTGCTCTGATCATTACAGACTTAAAAAGGCAGCTCAGTAATGCTAATATTTTACAATTTGTACTAGAAGTTCAAAAAAGATGTTTTTCATTTTTTGAAGCTATTAAAAATACTGTGCTAGGCCTTTCCTGGTGTCACCGAGCTTTGCTGATTGTTAATAGCATCTTTAATCACACATATTAAGGTGTGATTTATAAAAAAAATAAGTTTGGTGTATCAGAGGCAGGAGGAGAAGCGTTCCAATATTAAAAAAGCAATATAAGACAAGAGCCAATTTGTGAAGGTAAGAAAATAGCCCAGGTGAACAGTTAAGTCATGAGGAAACAGAGACAACTGCTACTAACAAGTAGCACAACAGTACTGTAACGTGATTGTGGATTAAAAAAAAATCCAAAAATCTTAAGAGAGACTGTCAGAGACACTTCCCTCCTCTGTTAAAACGCTGCTATTAAAGGAAGCATTTATTCCCCTGAAGGATTTTTTTCCCCTCATTCCACAAGCCCTTTTTATCTTTTCCAGAAGCTGAGACTTTGCCATGCTGTGTAGATGGATAAAGAACTCAACAACTACACAGAAAGTTAGAAAAAGACCACTCGTTTTAAAAATGAAGAACGAACTTCCTCAGGCCCACTCATTAAAGGCACAGATTTACCAACTTAACGTTTTGCCAAGAAAGATGTGTAACAACATAAACCAGACCAGATTTGAAGCTCCTGAATTAAAACTCATTATCTTTTATTTTGGGAGATACTTTTAATTAGGAGGCAATTCTTGAAGTAATGGAAAAATGTAGAGGAAATTGTAACTGAAAAGCACAAAAAGAACAGTCATTTGCAGTGACTGAAGGAACAAAATGTTAAATATAAAAGAGCTTAACCTATGCCCTAACATGAAGGAGAAAGTTAATTCCTCTGTGGAAGACAGATCTATGAAGACTCCCAAACAGAGGCCATGTAAGAGAGGAAAATAATTTAGGAAATAACGATGAGGAAGAATAACAAACAGGAGAAGGAGGCCCAAAAGAATGCAATTGCAGCACTCAGGCTGAGTAACACCACCACCATTAATAACTGTCCTAGCATTAGAAAGAAATGAAAGACTGTGAGGGAATAAAAAAAAAAAAAAAAAAAAAAAGATTAAAATTAAATGAATGTGAGGAAAAGAAGTTAAATACAAACCCAAAATTTAATTATTAACAATGTAATTGCTGATATTTATTACTTGCCTTTTAATGATACTTTACTGTTACATTTTAATCTGAAAGGTGCCAGCCAGACACTATGTTTGGTACAATTCATGAGACAAGCTCTGCTGTTACAACACAGCTTGCAGCTTTCACAAAGTGCCGAAGTCTACCCAATTTAATCTAGATATGTCAGCGGTCAGAGGCCGAGCATTTGCTACAGAACCAGCTCTGAGCAAACACAGGGGTGCCAAAAATAAATTGGCTGGGCAGCAGTCCACCATCAACATGTAAAATGTAAAAATGTAAAATAATTTACCTGTGTGAAGTGCTGCTTAAAGAGCAACTATGATTTGCATAATTCTCTCCACAAATACATACGTAAAACTACTCAAAATGTTTGCAAAGTTTATCTTCTAAGCTTAACTCACATTGTCTGGTTTTTGCCTGTGCCATGAACCCAGGATCCTTTATTAGAAAACCTTTGAAAACACTGCCCTAGCCAGTCCAACTTCAGTTTCTAAAGACCAAAGCACAGAGAACTACCATGTATTACCAGTGATTTAGGTGTTGTATAGTTATACAGAGGATTATGGAGTTCAAGGCCAGAAAAGGACACTACATTTTCCTGTACGCCACAGATAACTCACACTATTTAAAGATATTCTAAAGGTGGCTAACTTCTTGACACTACAATGTATTCAAATCCTTACATGACTTGCAGTCACAAGAAATACAAACTAACAAAGACCCCAAAAGGGAAGATGTGGGGACAGTTTACAGGCTCCTGAGGGCTCCTTCATTTCATTAGCTTGATATCAGGCAAGCCTGGCCACACCGATAGGTGTGCCAGGGCAACCCAGCCAGCCAACCCTGCCACCTACCACAGCTGAGGGTTTGTATTTCAGTACACGGTATCTGTTTGTCTTTTTGGTATTTCAGTAGTCACCAGCAGCACAACCCGTTTCAAGTCAAATAAATCCAGCTTAGGTGCAGAGCACCTCTTCAAACTCCACAAGCCACCCAGCTCTATCCTATCCTTAAGTCCAATGTTTTTATTTAAAAAAAAAACAACTAAATCTAACTTCTAGAAACTAAACTATAATGTGTTTCAGGAAGAAACAAGAGTCGACTAGCTGCTAGTACCAGAGTGCCCTAGAAATGTCCTTCCCTTTGTTACTACACACACTCAGAAGTTACACTGTATTTTAAAACTTCAATCCGGGAGCCCCTAGCCAGAATCCTTTGCTTGAGTTCAGAGGACTAGCTTTGCACATTTCACAGTTTACCTTAGCCTCTAACAAATATAGACAGAATACTGAAAATAATAACATGGCTTTGACCTGTCAGGGCCAGAATACTAAGCATGGCTACTTTCACATTTTAGGGCTAACATGCACAGACACTGTGCATAATATAAACTGGCTGCATATAATGTAATATCACTCATAGTTCTTTTTTTTTTTGGACAGAATTAACCCAGAGCTAAGAGTCACAAGGATTTAGTCATGCCAGAACTAATACTGATCTTTCTAAGGGATAAAAAAAGCAGATGTGGTTTTAGTCTGCCACCGGCTTGTCTCTGAAGTGACAGAACAGCATTCTGAGCGAGGAAAACACGCTGAGCATAGCATACAACTACTAAGAAGTAAAAAATGCAGGGACTCGGGAACAAGAACGCGAATTACACACTCGAAAAACACAGCTACAAATTATAGCCGTCACCCCACAGAGGAAGGGGGATGAGAAGCCCTCTCTGAGGAACCACAGGCCGGTCGGAAAAAAGAGAAGCAAACCGGCTCTACCAGTCCTTCCCCAGCACGCGCTCCGCCATGGAGACACCTCAAAAACAGAGGAAGAGGCGGCAGCCATGTGTGCCGGTCGGGGGCACCTACGCTTAGAGAAGGGGAAGCGAGGAGAAAGGAGAAGCCCCCTCACCCCCCTCCTCCTTCCCCTCAGCGCCGCCGCCGCCATTTAAAACGCCCGCCCCTGCGGGGCGCGCGGCCCCGGCAGCCAATCAGCGCCCGCGCTGAGGTAAACAGCGCCCCGCCGCCGGCCCGCCAGGGGCTGCCCGGCTGAGGGGGCGG